ATGTGCAATATATTGGAATTTGGCAAAAATTCAGAAGGAAAATCATATGACCTCCTACAGTCTGATCTTTTCTGCCACCCTTGCTATCATGTTCATTTCTCTTTTCCTTTGAAGGTGATCATGGCTACAAGAATAAAGATCCCAGTGAAAAATTTGAAGTGATCAGGCATGGAGGCAGGATGGACAAGGAACTAGAGTTGCAACTGGAAAGTCATGAGAGAAGCCAGTCAAATAGTTGGAATCGGGAAAGTTCATCCTCCATGGATGCCGAGATGCAAGGCTTTCTTGCCCAAGAAGGAAAAATAAAGGAAAAGTATACTGGAAAATGTGTAAGACTATTAAAAGACAAATTAGTTGTAAATGAACACTCTCCAACCCAAACCAAAGGAGAAGATTCTATCTGCAGAGACAACAGAAAAAACCACAATTGTACTTTCACTCTTTCCTGTGAAAATGGGTCCCTTACGTCTCATAAAAGGATCCACACAGGGGAAAAGCCATATAAGTGCATGGAGTGTGGAAAGGTTTTTATTCAGCAGTCTAATCTGAATTCCCATAAAAGGACCCACACAGGGGAGAAACCATATAAATGCATGGACTGTGGAAAGACTTTTCGTCGGAACAATAATCTTACTTCCCATCATAAAAGAATCCACACAGGGGAGAAACCATATAAGTGCCTGGAGTGTGGAAAGAGCTTTACTACTAGGAGTGAACTTACTACCCATAAAAGGATCCACACAGGGGAGAAACCATATAAGTGCCTGGAGTGTGGAAAGAGCTTTACTACTAGGAGTGAACTTACTACCCATAAAAGGATCCACACAGGGGAGAAACCATATAAGTGCCTGGAGTGTGGAAAGAGCTTTACTACTAGGAGTGAACTTACTACCCATAAAAGGATCCACACAGGGGAGAAACCATATAAGTGCCTGGAGTGTGGAAAGACTTTTACTCAAAATGCTAAACTTACTTCCCATCATAAAAGATTCCACACACAGGAGAAACCATATAAGTGCCCGGAATGTGGAAAGAGCTTTACTACTAGGAGTGAACTTACTTCCCATAAAAGGATCCACACAGGGGAGAAACCATATAAGTGCCTGGAGTGTGGAAAGACTTTTACTCAAAAAGGTACACTTACTTCCCATAAAAGAATCCACACAGGCGAGAAGCCCTATAAATGCACTGAGTGTGGAAAGAGCTTTACTACTACGACTGAACTTATTTCTCATAAAAGGACCCATACAGGGGAGAAGCCATATAATTGCATGGAGTGTGGAAAGAGCTTCTCTCAAAATACAACCCTTATGTGTCATAAAAGGATCCACACAGGGGAGAAGCCACATAAATGCATGGAGTGTGGAAAGAGCTTCAGAATGAGGAGTCACCTTATTGACCATAAAAGGATTCACACAGGGGAGAAGCCATATAAGTGCATGGAGTGTGGAAAGAGCTTCTCTCAAACTGCATCCCTTATGAATCATAACAAGATCCACACAGGGGAGAAGCCATATAAATGTATGGAGTGTGGAAAGAGCTTCAGAATGAGGAGTCACCTTATTGACCATAAAAGGATCCACACAGGGGAGAAGCCATATAAGTGCACAGAGTGTGGAAAGAGCTTTACTACTAGCAGTCACCTTATTTCTCATAAAAGGACCCACACAGGGGAAAAACCATATAAATGTGTGGAGCATGGAAGGAGCTTCAGGAGGAGGAATAACCTAAATTCACATATACAGATCTGTTTGGGTGAGAATCCATGTAAATTCTAGATTTAGTTGTTTAAATCTATACATTCTCTATTTGTGTACACTGACCTGGGAAAAGAAGATTTCTTTGAGTCTGACCCTCACAACCAGCAGCCCAAGAGAAATTAATTTACCACTGAAAATAAAAGGGCCATTTTAATTATGAACTGGATTGTTTAACCTAATGTTATTTTAGGTGGCCAATGCTATTGCACACCAATAAGAGAAGTTTATTAAGTTTACGTTTATCCCAGTGCCAGAAGGCATGGTTTGTCTCCTATCCAGGAATAAACACACAGGCAGAGAGAGGAGAG